ACTATGCAGGGGTCGTTTCGTAGAAAAAGAGCTAGGGGAAGTCATTAGCATAACTCATTAGCATATGCCACACCCCCTGACATCAGGGGCCCGGCGGTGGACCTGCAAGGCCAGCGGGAGTGTGGGGAAGCCCCGCGAAGGCCCTCCCTGGCCCCAGGCAGGCAGGGATAGGGAGAGGCGGGGAGGAAGCAACTTACCCTCCCTCTTCTCCTGCCTCCTCCTGGCTGAATGAGGGCCGGAAGCGGGGCGGCCGGAAGCGTGGGGGCGGGGCTTCGTCATGTGCCCCGCCCCCCGTACCTCACCCGGGGGAACTGCGATCCCCCACAATCCCCCCCGAATCCACCTCTGCCACTATGGGAGGCTGAGCCACACACATACACACAGAGAGAGCGAAAGCCCAAGTGCAGGGGACAAAAGGACTCTTTTTTTAAAAAAATACACTGGGAAAAAGGAGTGTGATAGAGAATAAAAACAGCATTGCAGTGGCAGCTGCCACCCAAACAATGTTATTTTAATTGGTACGGTCCAACAGATTTCCAATGACCAATCAGAAGCCCTACTGGTCAGGAGCCGCACTAGGCCCCACCCACTTTCTTAAAACACTTAAAACCCTTGGGCTGCGTTCACATGGGCAATTTGATCCGTTCCCCTTGCTGTTCCCTTATGGATTTAAAGTGCACAATCAGACAGCGACATCTGTCTGTTGTGCCCCAGTCCTCTGAGTTCCCCTCCCCCCTCCCCTTGCCCCGTGTTTTTTGGATACCTGATAAAGTCCGGTCCCATTGGTCTGAGCCCGCTTCAAAAATTGATTTTTCTGTCATCTGGTCACTCTGTTGCACAGCCAAGCAGTCACGCAGGTCTCACTGAGCTCTTGCTTTCTGGCTGCCATCCCCCCCCCCTTAGTTAGCGAGGATCACATGACTGTATATATGCACCTCTTCTTTCAGCAGCTGATAGAATGTATAATCATAACCATCAAGTTACGTATCAGTAGCACACAGCCCATTAAGGGGAAAAGCCTTCATTCAGCTATTTGTAACTGGCAGGGCTATTTCTGGGCAGGAACGCACAGGAACGGAGTTCCGGCTGGCTTCAGAGTTAGCCATGCCCACTACAGCCAAAACCTCTGTGTGCATGGCTACAGAGTGAAGGCCTGGAGAGCGACCCCCCCCCCGGCGACTCTGAGGTGGGGAGGTCAGGGGGGGCCCTGGAAGGATCAGGGAGGCATTTAAACGCCTCCCATGCCTTCCCCAGCCTGTCCAAGGGCTGGCTTGCCCGCAGGACGCCCAGGCAAGCCAAGAGAAGGCATGGAGGGTGTGGCCTAATAGGCTAATGAGCTGCGCTGTTAGGGGTGTGACTTAATATGCCGATGAGTTTCTGCTGTTGGGTGTGGCCTATTATGCTAATGAGTTCCTGCTGGGCTTCTTCTACAAAAAAAGCCCCTGCTGGGCTTTTTCTGCAAAAAAAGCCCTGGTAACTGGACATAAGTGTGCCATCCTGTCACACCTACTCAAACCGGGGCGGAAATTCACCATACAGCACAAACTGTCAGGAAACCTAGATGGATGTATTGATGTGCTTGTATTGCAGCAGTCTCTTAATGGGCTGTGTGCTATTGGTATGTAACTTGATTGTTATTCTTATGATCATGCATTCTGTCAGCTACTGAAAGATGGGGGGGGTATGTTTTAAATAGTAGTGGACCTCAGCAGTGTTCCCTCTAAGCTGAGTTAGTGTGAGCTAGCTCACAGATTTTTAGACTCCAGCTCAACACATTTTTGTCTTAGCTCAGGAATGATGGCTCCAGAGCAAACTAATTTATGCATTAGCCAAATCGCTTGTTCACAAAGTAGAATTTTTGCTCACAAGACTCCACAGCTTAGAGGGAGCATTGGACCTCAGCACAGATTACGGTGGGTTGCTGTACCATCTTAAGAATTTCACGTGACAAGGTGCAAGTGCAAAGACCCACAGGAGAGTGCTTTGTCTCCGTCACCGTCACATTGAATAATCAAGCTTTTGGCAAAAACAGTGAGATGACAGAGCTTTACTTAGCAAAACATACAGTGTGCAGTAAATGTTGTTTTACTTATTTATTGAATTTGTATAGTGTTTATTCCCCATAAAAGAAACAAATATATTTCTCTAGTATTCTGTTGCCAAAAAGAGATATAAAGCTGTAAAACATAATACTGCCAAATAAAGCCATGCTGCCACCTAGTGGTATACATTTTGTCTACATACCTAAATCTCCAGGAAGAGAAGTCTGCAGGGCTTCCTCCATTGGAGATTCACAGGACACCAGAACCATTAGAAAGTCTTTGGAACATTACAGAAATCTAACACTCAGCCTCCCTTCTCAGAGAGTGAATACAAACACTGAGGAGAAATTTTTCAAGCCACCCTCAGATGGGATCCTTGGAGAGGTCTAGTTATATCTTTTGCCAGTTAACTTTAAAGAATGACTGACTGTTTCCAGTGAAGTCAAATGTATGTCACCTTTTTTTAAAAAAAGTCTACTGTTTAAAAGTGCAGAACTTCAGTAATTTCTGCACAAACAACTTTTGTATTGGCTTATTAACCAGACAGAGAGAGCAGAGAGAACTTTTTCTCCCTCTACCAGAATACTAGAACTCAAGGGTATCTAGTGAAGCTGATGGTAGTTTCAGGACAGCCAAAAGGAAATACCTCTGTACACAACAAGTGATTAAAATGTGGAATTTGCTGACAGATGTAGTGATGGCCACAGGTATGGACGGCTTTAAAAGGGGGATTAGACAGACTCATGGAGGTCTATCAGTGGTTGCTTGTCATGGTGACTAAAGGGAAGTCAATCTCTAATAGCAGTGTCAGAAGGCAACATCAGGGAAAACCTCAGCCTCTGTGCCCTTTCACAGAACCTAGTCAGCCAGTGTGTGAGGCAGGATGCTGGACTAGATGGACCACTGGTTTTATTCAGCAGAACTCTCATTATGTTCGTTTTAAAAAATAATAATAATAATAATGAAGTAAGTGAGCAGGGCACGTAACTTAATCCTTTTACCACTTTTATTTGCAATTACTTGCTATCAATATCTGTATAGAGTTCTTTTGTTCCTCTTGGTTTTGTTCCAGTACATTTCCAGTTCATGTGGTAGTTGCGGGGGGGGGGGGATTAAAAAAAAGGAAACAGACAGGGCACAGAAAAATGAGATGTTGTTACAGATAACCAAATGTGGGATTTTGTAGAGAACAAACATTTATGATTAGCATCCAGAAGGCAACCCTCTTGAGGCATGAGTTGGGCCTTGGGACAACCAGTACTCAAAAGGTTCTTGTACTTCACTCCATTGTATGGCCCTAACAGACGGCAGCCCAACAGGCTGCATAAAGATGAAGGACCTACTTTGCATGCTTGGAAGGAGGGGGACTTGTTTGGGGCGATTCCCGCTCATACGGGTATTTGGTGATGGGTGGAGCTTGGTGCTTATTAGTGCATCACTCCCCCTCATCGGGGCAGTTCGTTTGCAATCGGTCCAACCACCCTCCCTAGACAATTTGGGCTTCGGCTGGTCACCAACTTGGGGCCGGGTAGGAATTTTTTGCCCCCCTTTCAGATTGGCTGGGAAAGGGGTTTTTTGCCTACCTCACACTGTCTTTGAGGCAGAGGGATTGGCTCTAGGCCATGCAGTTAAATAGGGTTTGCGGAAATCTGGCCTTTTTCTGTTATGAGGGGGAACACCAGTTGACAGACACACACACCCTTGTTTGGGGGGTTGGCACACCTAGCACAAACCATTCCTGGGTATGGGCCTCGGATGGGGACTGTGGGTGGCTTGTTATACACCTCATGCTGGGTCTCCCCTCGTGCTCCATGGCTAGAGGTGGTCGGCTCATGGCGGGGTGTTAGCATGTCTGCTGTCTGGCAGAGGCCGTGTTGTGGTTGACTTGTGCCAGGGGCTCAGTGGTTCACCCCATTTAAGGTTGAAAAAGGGATCAGGGGATTTCTTGGCTGGACCTGTGTTGCAGCCCTTGCCAGTTATAGTTTATTCTTGTTGAATGAATAGTTAAAGAAAGCTGCCCTTAGTTTATACCATTTATCTATGTCAGTCTCTTTCTTCTGACTAAGCATGCAAATGTTGGCCACATAAAAACATCAAGGGAGTGATCTGAAGTATTTGGTCAGAAGTAAGGAATGTTTTATTCAATGGGGTTTCTCCCAGGAAAGTGTTCCTAGGACTGCAGCCAAAATGCCTTTGCTCCTCTTGCTTATGTTGGCTTCCATCTCCCAAACCACTATGTCTTCCATGGGTAGCACTGTAGCTCACACTCACATGGTCATCATTCCACTGATAAAACACCTGTCTGGGGAATAAAGGCAGTGGCTACACAGTACACATTTGCCTGCTCCCCTCCTGCTTTCTCAAAACAGCTGCCTAAAAGTACCTTTTTTTGAACTTTGCTTCTCTCCATTCTTGGTGCACCATATGTAATATCAATATTTACCTTCTGATGTGGGTTGTGATCAGTTCTAAGGTCAACTGAGGTCTCCTGCTGGTGTAAATAGCATATGAGATTAGGAAACCGCATGTACAACATCTGTCCCTTTTATATATCCCCATTAGAACTATCCTTTCTCTGCACCCTGGAAGAAGAAACTGACTTTCAGAATGGCAGTATTTAATTTATTTTGTATTTATGAGGGGACAAAGAATGTAATAAGTCCATAGAGGTAGAGCAGTGTTGCATAAAAACACCGAGGGAACAAATAATTCACTGTAGTATTTGGCAGGAGCTAGTCTGGTTTCCAATGCCAACATAAGGCAGGACTTTTAGATGCAAGCAATTGATCTCATGCAATTATGCTGGTCTGTAAATAAACAATTTTTCAGATGGGGAGGGCGGTCTTGTCAAGTGACATGCATGTTGAGGATCAGGTTACCTTGAGTCCCTTTAATCATAGTAAGTGAGTAGGTTAAAAAAAAAAGAACTTCAATATGTATTATCTTGTATTAAAACAGATAACTTCATACTTGTCCAAAATGGAGAATCATTCCACCACTACAATGCCACTTACTTCGGATCTACCTAACAAGAAACAGACTGTGTGTATTTTTGGAACAGGAGATTTTGGAAGATCTCTAGGACATAAGATGATACAGTGTGGCTATACTATAGTATATGGAAGCCGAAATCCTAAGAATTCCAAACTGATTCCTCAAGGAGCCACAGTGTTACCCCACGCAGAAGCAGCAGAGACCTCTGACATCATCATCATAGCAATCCCCAGAATACATTATGCCACTTTGGAAAGGCTGAAGGAAACTCTCGATGGGAAAGTGCTGGTGGACGTTAGCAACAACCTCAAAATAAACCAGTATCCTGAGAGCAATGCTGAATATCTTGCCCAGCTGTTCCCAGAGAGTAAAGTGGTAAAAGCATTTAACACAGTGTCAGCATGGGCTCTACAGTCAGGAGCACTGGATGCAAGCAGACAGGTAAGAATATCTCTGGAACAAAAGGTGAAACCCCCCCCATCAGGGTTCCTCTGAGCCACTGCCTCCCAGAGGAGTAAGCAGTGCTCAAACTTATGTGTCCTTGAGGTTAAATGCACACAAGAAAACCAAAGCCTTTAGAAAAATACACACAGGTTTATTGAGCAAATAAACGTTAAAACACTGCAAAACAACACAGTTTCTTGAATTAATGAGCTAAGAATACAACAAAAGTTGACTTTCTCTTTCTGACAGTACCTGGCATTTAACTGGTGCACCATTCAAAAGCTTATTCCTCTGTCCCATGGGATCAAAAGTTAGTGTAGTATCACCCTTATCTAAAGTCCAATTATAGTTTCTTGCTCTCTGGCATCAGGTGGTCTTCAGAATCCATCAGAGCACTCATTCACTGGAGCCCTCCAAGAGATGACGCAACTTGCACCTGGCTCCCCCTTCCCATCTAGTTACTGAATTGAGCACAGGTTTTTCACTTACCCAATTACCACATTCTGATATCAGGCCTTAAAAGCGATACAGATAGTATCTATGAGAGAGGCTAATTAGAAACACCTGCATGATGAAGCAGACCCACTGTTATTCGTCTTAACCCTTGGTAAAACTGGGGTGCTTTGCCTCACACACACATATGTAAAGGGAAGCCACAGAAGGTAAGGTTGAAAGATTCCATTCAATGTTCAGATTTCCAATTAATCAGATGTGATAAAAGGAGCTTTGACTCTTGAGAGCTTATGCTCTGGAAATTTTGTCCGTCTTGGTGCTACTCGACTCAAATCTTGCTCTTCTGCAGACCTACAGAGCTACCCAACTGAAACTATGTTCCTGCATTGTATCACTTAGACTTCTGGTCTAATTATCTATAGAAAGTCTAAAGGCACAACTGTCTTTGTTTTATCTTCTGTTCCAAAAAACCAACAATAAAGGGAAACCATTTCATCATCACCAGATTCTTGTTCAAGTCAGATCCACTATTACAATAAAGATGCAACATATTCCTTTTGTCATCGTTGTTTGTTTTTGCTGCAGGTGTTTGTCTGTGGCAATGACAGCAAAGCAAAAGAAAAGGTGATTGATATTGTTCGAAGCCTTGGCCTCACTCCGCTGGACAAAGGATCGCTCTTAGCAGCCAAAGAAATTGAAGATTACCCTCTGCAACTCTTTCCTATGTGGAAGTACTCCATTTATCTGTCCCTGGGCCTCACTGCATTTCTTTTCATCTACTGTCTAATCCGTGATGTAGTCTACCGTTACATTACAGAAAACAAAGACATTTCCTTTTTTATAGCTATTACTATTCCAAATCGAATCTGTCCCATTGTGGCACTCATCCTTCTTGGTTTGGTTTACTTGCCTGGGATCTTTGCAGCTATTCTTCAATTATACAGAGGGACAAAATACAGGCGCTTCCCAGACTGGCTGGACAAGTGGATGCTCTGCAGAAAACAGCTGGGCCTGGTTGCCTTGGCTTTTGCTTTCCTACATGTTCTGTTTACACTCGTCATTCCTATACGTTATTATGTAAGATGGAGATCCGACAGTTATCTTCTCCAACAGGTAAGTTGACATTGTGCTGTTTCTTGTCCTATTTCACCACCAGCCTTGAGAGGTGGAGCAACTTTGTAGAATCATAGGCTGCTTTGTGGCCCTCTGATGTCGGTGAGAATATACTCCACTTTATGCAGATAGTGTTCCCTCCACTGTCACCTCACTTACACAGAGACATCTGAGGGGTAGGGGAATGATGAGGAAGGCCACTTCATGTGGGAGTGATGTGGCAATCACCTAGACCTCAAGGCCCTGGCACATTTCTGCTTACATCCTCACTGATGCAGTGGGACCATTCCGATCTTTTTGGACTCCTTTTACAGACTGTGATCACAGTAAAGACTAGGGATGGGCATGAACTGGTTCACAAACTTAAAGTCGTGATGAACTGGGTTCAGTTCATGGTTTACAAACTGAGGTTTGTGCCATTCCACCTCCATGAACCTCCCTGGTGGTTTTGGGAAGTTCATGTGGTTCATGTTGGCAGACATGCTGGTGTCAGTGGCAGGGCTAGGAGAAGGCATTTAAGGAGACTGTGGTCTCTTTAAATGACTTCTCCAAGCTGCACCACCACTGTGGTGCAACTCAAAAGTGAACTCAGAAGACATTTAAATGCCTTCTGAGTTCACTCACTTAGTCATGCAACTGTGGTGTTGCAACTCGCAAATAAGCTCAGACTTGCGAGTCACATGGTGGCGGTGGCACAGCTTGCAGAAGCCATTTAAAGGGAACTCATTAAATGGCTTTTGCAAGATGCATTGCATCATGAACCACAAACTGGTTCATTAAACGGAAACATTTGTGGATGTTTGTGGTTTGAGAGACCCCACTAACCATGAACAGTCACGAATCTCAATTTTTTCAGTTCATGCCCATCCCTAGTAAAGACTTCAAAAAGTATTCATTTATTTACAAAATGTTTTTCTCACAGTGAACAATTTAAGACATGCATTATAAAATCACATTTTAAAACCATTAAAATCAACTCCCCTCACACACTTTATTAAAACAATTAAAGACACTTAAAATACATTCAAAACATAAAGACAGCAACTGAAGCATTGGTTAGGAAGAAGGAATCATTTAGGGAATGCCAAACAAAACAAAAAAACATTTCACCCATTGAAGAAAGATAGCAACAGATGGGGGACAGATGGATTTCCCTGGGGATAGAGTTCCAGAATTTTTGTACCATGACTGAGAAAGCCTTCTTCCGGGTTGCCACCTTCCTAATCTCAGAATTTAGCAGCACCCAAAACAGGGCTTCCAAAGATTACCATAGTGGTCAGGAAGGTCCATATGGGAGTAGGCAGTTCTTCAGGTATATTAGTTCCAAACCATGTAGGACTTTGAAGGTCAAAACCAGCACCTTGAATTGTGCTGAGAAACAAATCAGGAGCCTTTGTAGATTGGCCCAACACTGGAATGATATGGTCCCGATTGTTAGTAGCCAGACCCCCTCCTGCAGACAGGCAGTCTGAATCCAGGTGCCCCTCTTTAATTATCACCCTGTTCAGCCTGACCTAGCAATTGAACCAAAATGGAGCACACAAAAAAATGGACACTGGCCAGAGACAAGCCTGGGAAACTATTTTTGGGTAGGTGACTCAGAGTAACTGACTTGCTAATAGCTTTTCTCCCCACCCTAAAAGAGATAATGGGTTTCACAGGAAAGACAATATTCTGTCCTGGTGCAACATCATCACACCTGATCATGCTTCCCCTTGCCCATTCCCCTTAATTAACAAGCTATTCATATAACTTGATAGCTTCTCTCATTCTGTATTCAAGGGTCATCAGAAAGCACCCACATCTTAGTTTACATCCGGCAGTTTCATCAAGCAGACATTAACACCACTTATGCAAATTGTCACAAGTTTCCCTACGTCTTTAGCCACCCTGGGAAATCTAATCAAGGTATTGTTTAGGGACACACAAGTCAGACCGCCTTAGGGTCAATTTTACCTGTACCTGGACACACTCTGCCCAGTGCAGTGTGTGGATGTTCTCAGTGCAAAACAGTGTACCCCTACTCTCTGTGGGCTTCTTCTGTCTCTCTGGGAAATGCTGGCTGTTTCCCTCACTACCTTATATGGACCTTGATCTTCAGGACATGGTAATTATTGCCCTCCCCAAATCTTTCCCCACTACTTACTTTTATTTTTCCCTCTTTGATAGTTTGTGTGCTTCCCCCATGTGCTTTATATGTATATTTGCTCTTTATTCTTTTATAATAAAACCCATTTTCTGTTGTACTTTAGTCTGGTTTATTTGAGAGTTCTCAGGGAAACATCCCCATAAACATTGGTGGAGATCCCCTACTTATCCCCTCTCACTTTTCTCCAATTACGCTAATTTTCCCAATTAATATCAGTGACATAACATTATGACCCACTCCAGTCAACATTCTTGCTGCAGCACTCAGTACCAGCTGAAGTTTCCACATTCTTCTCAAGGGCAGCTCCTCACAGAGCACATTTCAGTAATCTAGTCTAGATGTAACCAGGGCATGCATCACAGTGGCCAGATCTCTTCTGCCCAGGAAAGGCTGCAACTGGATAACCAGTCAAAGTTGGTAAAAGGTACGCCTGGCCACAAATGCCACCTGCTTATCCAGCAGTAGGCCTGGGTCCAGGAGCACCCCCAGACTATGGACCTGCTCCTTCAAGGGGAGTGCAACCCCATCCAGAATAGGTGATAAATTCCCAGTTCAGACCTCCCCCCCCCCACCGGTAACACTTCCATCTTGCCTGGATTCTGTCTTGGTGGGATTGAATGAGTCCACAAGAAAGAAAACTCAATGAATTCAGTTCATATATTTTCCATTCCTCCAAAGAACTCAGGGCAACACACATGGTGCTCCTCTCTTTTATTTTATCTTCGCAACTACCCTTCAGAGTAGATTATTTGCATCACTGCTGTGGACTGCTTCTCACCTATGTCATTTTGTCCATTGTCCATCATCATAGGCTCTGAGACATCCCAAGTGTTGTGTGCTGGATGCCTTTGGTGGACCAGAACAATGACATTTTGAGGGGCTCCTACCACAGCCAATTTCTGTTATCTCATCCAGCCTTCCCTTACTTCACTGTATACTGTCCTTGGTTGAGTGAAACCAATGTAGGCAAACCTTCATCTTCAGTTGCCATAGAAGGGAACTCTTTCTTTCCCAGCCTTTCACCCTAATTAACCAAATATTAAAAAACCAGAAAGATTTTCTCTGTTTAACTGAATATTAATTAACGGAATATTTAAGTAACTGAGTATTAGAATCATAGAATCACAGAGTTGGAAGGGACCATACTGGCCATCTAGTCTAACCCCCTGCTCAATGCAGGATTAGCCTAGAGCATCCTTGTCAAGTGCTTGTCCAGCTGCTTCTTAAAGACAGCCAGGGAGGGGGAGCTCACCATCTCCCTAGGCCACTGGTTCCACTGTTGCACAACTCTTACTGTAAAAATGTTTTTGCCAATATCCAGCTGGTACCTTCCCGCCCTTAATTTAAACCCATTATTTCAAGTTCTATCCTCTGCTGCCATCAGGAATAGCTTCTGGCCCTCCTTTAAGTGACAACCCTTCAAATACCTAAAGAGGGAAATCATGTCCCACCTCATCCTCCTCTTCTCCAGACTAAACATTTCCAGGCCCCTTGGCCTTTCCACATAGGGCTTGGACTCCAGGCCCCTGATCATCCTCATCTCTCTTCTCTGCACATGATCCATTCTGTCCACATCCTTTTTTGAAGTAAGGCCTTGAGAACTGCACACAATACTCCACGTGCGGCCTGACCAATGCAGTGTACAGCGGGACTATGACATCTTGTGATTTGGATGTTATGCCTCTGTTGATACACCCCAAGATTGCACTAGCCTTTTTTTTTGTTGCTGCATCACCCTGGCTGCTCATATTTAACTTCCAGTCCCTTACCCCAAGATCTTGTTCACACTGCACTGTATCCCCCATCCCATATGTGTATTCCTCATTTTTATTATCCAGATGTAGAACTCAGCACTTATCCTTGTTAAATTGCACCTTGTTCACATCCACCTGCTTTTTCAGTGTGTCCAGATCTTCTTGAATTCTATCTCTATCTTCTGGTGTGTTCGCTGCTGCTCCCAATTTAATGTCATCTACAAATTTAATGAGTAGCCCCTCCACATCCTCATCCAGATCATTTATAAAAATACTGAAAATTACTTGGCCCAGAACCGAGCCCTGTGGCACCCCACAGGACACCTCCTTCCATTCAGATGAATTGCCAGTGACAACTGCTCTTTGGTCCTTTCTGTACTAGACCTTAAATCCTGGTTCAGCCCTGTCCCCGAACTTACATTCGACACTACCCTCGAGTTCACCCCTGTAATTATTTCAGAGTATTTTTTGTTTCCACATTACATTGAGGTCACCCCGGTTTTGCCCCACACTTGTCCCGGGATAAACGGATGCTGTTACAACCAGGGATAAATGCAAGGTATTGTGTTGCGAGTTGAACTCTGATAAAACCAGGGATGAGATCCAAGTGCGGAAAGGACCTTTGAGTGTAGTTCTCCAACCACTTCCCTATCCACTTAACTATCCTACAGTCCAGTAACAACCAGAAAGATTTTCACTGTACCCTAGTGGGTGCAATTTTTTTATCTGTTGCAAGGCAAAGATGACATAAGTTTACAAAACTCTCAAAACCATTTTTTTTACTCATTGTTGACAAACTACTAGAAGAGGAGATTGGATTTATACCCCGCCCTTCACTACCCAAAGGAGTCTCAGAGCAGCTTACAAACTCCTTCCCCTTCCCCTCCCCACAACGGACATTCTGTGAGGTAGGCAGGGCTGAGAGAGCTCTGACAGAAACTGCTCTTGAGAGAACAGCTCTGACAGAACTATGGCTTGCCCAAGGTCATCCAGCAAGTGCACGTGGAGGAGTGGGGAATCAAACCCGGTTCTCCCAGATTAGAGTCCGCGCACTTAACCACTACACCAAACTGTCTCTCTACTAAATATCTGTTTTAAATTTTTCTCACCTTAGGTATTTAAGAACAAAACAGATTCATTTAGAACTGATTATGCCTGGCTGAGTGACTCATATCTCGCTTTCGGTATCTTGGGCTTCTTCCTGTTTCTCCTGCTTGGGATCACATCCTTGCCCTCCGTCGCCAACAGTGTCAACTGGAGAGAGTTTCGGTTTGTCCAGGTGAGAACCTCTTGCCAGAACTACTCCTCCTCTTGTGTTCCTATCCAAACCTACTCAGAAGTGAGATCCACCAATTTCTGTGCAACTTCCACTCATCAAATAAATGTGCATAGGACTTCAGTTTCTTGAGGGACAGGTTCCTTTTCCTTTTGTTAATTTTATTTTGTGTGGTACTGAAGTGTGACCAGGGGTGGGCAGGTAGAATTGAGTCCAGTGGCACCTTAGAGACCAAGATTTACAAGGTATAAGCTTTTGAGAGTCAAATATCTCTTTGTCAGATATGAGTAGGTAAGGAGATCTCAGTGTCTTTATATCCCAGTCAGAAGGTGGGAGGGGTGTCGTACAAAAGGACCTTAGGATGCAAAGGTGCTATCCATATTGTAATCAGCTTGACTAGAGCAGAGTGGAAATGCTTGGGGAAAGAAAATTAGCATCTGTAGTGGAGGGAGGAGAAATGGAACTAACATGATCTTTAGTTTATCCATTTATCCATTTTTGAGATAATCACCAAAGAATTTTCTCTTGGTTCCTTCCTGTAGAACATCTGCTGTCTTATCTGTGGTTGCCCCTTTCATTTTTATTATTGCTTCTTGGACAGTGGACATCTTGTAAAGATCATTTGCTCAAGAAGGATTAATATATAGTTGATCCAAAGTTTGTGTTTGCAAAAGAGGCCACCTGCCTCATAGTGGAGTCTGGAGTAATAAGACTGCCAGCTCTGGGCTGGAGAATTTTCTGGAGATTTGGAAGTGGAGCTTTGGGAAGTATGGCTTTGGGGAGAGGAGGAGCCTCAGTGGGGTATAAATCCACCCACCAAAGCACCATCTGGGGGAATTGGTCTCTGTAGTCTGGAGATCAGTTGTAATTCTTGGAGATCACCAGGCTTCACTTAGGGGTTGGCAACCATACATAGTAGGGAACTAACCGTAAGTGCAATATGTGGCTGTTTTTTTTAATGGTTGCAGTTAGGGCCTTGATGCCCAAGTTGAGTAATCTCTCCCTTATATAAAAGAGTAGTGGGTGCCAAAATTCTAAAATGCGCCCCGTTAGTGTATGGGTGGAAAATATGCCACTCAGGAGAGCTGCCTCCAATGACTGGCTCCCTCAGCCAACCTGCCCTGCCATTGGCTGGGTGGCTGGGAGGGGAGGGAGCCAGTCATCGGAGCCAGCTCTTCTGAGCGGCCATCTTCCCCACATACGGTAAGGGACGCTTTCAGCCCAGCGGCGAACGGAGCCGATAGGCTCCGTCCGCCGGCTTCCCTACCTCCAGCCCCCATCCTGCCTGGCGAATGGGCCCTGCACGGCCCGTCCGCCGCCTCCCTCCCCTCCTGGAGGGGAGCCTCCGTCGCCGGTTCCCCCCACCCCCCCGCCCCCAGTCCAGGCCGGCGCCGGAGGCCTGGAGCCTCCGTCGCCGGTTTCC